ATACATATGTATACATAAAACGACAATGCAATGACAGACATATTATACAGGGTGTCCCAGAATTAGTGTTAGGTCTTCAAATGTGGAGGAGTTCCTCCCCGTTTGAAGATGTAATACTAGTTCTGAGACACCCTGTATGCCTATGGTGATGAACGTCAAGAAAACAGAAGAAATTCCACAAAACTTGCATTGTGGAACCTGAGTTTCATTTTTCCTCACCGAACGTGCTGCGATCAAAATTCTGCATTACGTTACTGGTGGAAAATTCCACGGTCAATGATTTTGAACGCCATCTCTAGTATCAACTAGATACTTCACCAGAGTCAGCAGCACGGTCGTATATGGTTGTATACACGACAGTAGTGAGATCCGAGATAAATAAATATATAATTGGTTTTTTAAGTGTACTAAATCCATTGAATCTGTTATCTATAGAAAAGAATAATGTTCGATATCGTTCTTGAGAGGTAGGAAAGTATGGGTGATACAATCACCACAGTTCTTTTTTTTAAACTCCAGACCATGTTTACAACCATGTTGACAACAATTGATAACAACCCATCATCTGTGTTGGCATCAAAGTCACGTAGCCATTGATATTGATAGCCATGTTTAGCAATGTTTAGTAAAGTTTTGTATTCAATATCAAGTATCTATGGGGACCAAAGTAAATAAAGAATGGACATCTAATTCATGTAAAGAGTGCTATTGAAAGTATTAATTAAGGAGCATAATAATATATGATAAAAACATTGATTTATTTAACCTCTCAAGTTGAAATAAACCTCGACAACATCGCCGAATCGTTGACACAGGCGACGAGACGATTAAACGTAAATAAAATTCATGTACATACGGTAATTAGTAGTAATTTTCATTATTTATTTACTTCAAATCTGTTGCAAGTTATTAAATTTCTAATGTAAATAGTTATTATGGTTATATGATATTAAGTTCTTAATAAATGTAAGAAAACAGTGGTATTATATCTATTTATGTATACTTTGATATCTGTTAAATATATATGTTATTAATGTAGATGTATTTATATGATTTATAGGAGATAAATTCATAAAACTTATTGAAAAAGTGAATAAACATGACAGCAGCAATTAAAACATTGTGGAAGCAAGCGCTAAATACATTTGAAGAGCGAACTAGCTCAGGATTTAAGCTTTGCCAAAAAAAATTTGATAAATTACGAAATTTGATGAACAAGATTACAGCAGAAGATGTAAACTTAAACAAACAGATTCTAGACTTCATTCAAGTGCAACATGCTCCAATGTGGGTTATTGACATATTTCAAAATCAAGACTTTGCTATCTCAATATTCATATTGAAACATGGCTTCACAATGCCAATACATGATCATCCTGGAATGTATGGATTTTTGAAAGTATGTGATATACATAAACATACGTACATTTAAACATGCAATAATTAATTTTTTTATCGATTGTTATAAAATATTATGCTTTTTGCAAACTAAACATTTCTAGGTTTATACAGAATTTAATTATTTTATTTATAATATAGGTAATCAGTGGAGTGGTTCAAGTAAACAATTATACTTTAAAAGCCAATGAAGATCATACAATTAGATTGAACAAAGAAGAAATGGCATATAGACACAAACCAATAACTTTGCATAGTAATTCACCCGCTTGTACTCTGACGCCAAAAGAAAAGAATTTGCATGAAATTACATGTATCGAAGGTCCTGCTGCATTTTTGGATATACTTAGTCCCCCTTATGATGTAGATATTGATTCTGGGAAGGGTCCAAGACCATGTAGATTTTTCAAAACTGTTAGTAGTTCAAAAGCATGTACTGATACGTCGGACATAATTGAAGAAGTTAAGTTGGTGGTTATTGAAGGTCAACCAGATTTCTATTCTGGGAGTCTCAAATATACGGGACCACCCTTGATGTGACCTGAAATATCCAAAAATACTTTTTGTTCCATTTGTTAACAAAATTTTGTTGCATTTTATTGTATTAATTTAGAATTGCAATTGTACAATACATTTTTAAAGCTATCCATATTTTCATGTGTAATATATCTGTGGTTTTCTAAAGAATTTCTCGGAAGATACAGGAATATGATTATACATGTACAATATTTAAGTAAAAGTTATATAAAAAATTTGTATGTATGAGATCTCTATGTTTTGCAATATTAGTTTACTAGCATCTATGTAGTTTATTCTTATTACTGAATTTATTGATTCTAATTATAAAAATTAAATAATTTCTTTAGAGAACTGATTTCTAACATATAAAACATTTTTCTCTCAAAAAATGTTACCTGCACAAAAATGTGCAACGTGAGACAGTTATGATTAATTTATCTCATCGACATATATAATAAGAATATAAACAGAATATGTATTATAATACATATATATGCAACACGTGATA